GGGGGGTGTGGGGCTGCCCACGCATCCCGGAGGAGGGATGATGGGGAGCAAAGCGTCTGTGGGGCACAACGGGGTGTTCGCGGCTGTGCTTCGGCCATCTCAGTGTTTTAGGGGGGGCTACACCCCTTCCTGCGTCTGAAATCGGGGGATGGGTCCGGTTTGGAGGTGCTGGACGTGGAACCGGGGTGACTCCCGCAGCCGGTCAGCGTTCGGCAGCGCCGTCCATGAGTTCCTTTGGTTGAGTGCTGAGGTCGTTACTGATTGCAGGGCGGGGGGGGCTTCTGGTTGCCCAGAAGAAGGCCGGGGCCTCACCTCGGCGGCCTCTTGGCGTTGCATTCCTCGTTTGGGGCCTCTGGAAATGGGTCTCTGCCCCCCTCCCCGCCCCCTTTGGCGGTGCTCCCTGCTGCTCCCGCAGCACAATGGGGAATGGGGGTCCGTGGCTCTGCCGGCTCAGGGTGAGGCTGCAGGGTCTCCTCCCGCCGTGCTTTGGGGTTCCCTTTGGGAGCCAGGAGGTGTCACACGTCTCATCTCTCCCACCTGGAGGAGGAGCTGCCGCCTCCGTAAGGCTCAGAGGGCATCCAGAGCTTCATGTCGGGGAGGAGATGCAAGTGCACAGGGCAACCTCTTCTCCCTTCCTAATGGGATCGGCGTCGCTGCTTGCTTTCCAGGGTAGTTTGGTGCTGGCCAGGGCGCCTTTCCTGCAGGATTTCAGTCCTGGTGACAGAGCTGCATGACGTGGGCTGTATTTACGTGAAGCGCGTTCACCTCGGCTGCAGCATTTAAAGCTCTCATCCCCATCTCTGGGGCCTCTCACAGACTAAAGGGGGGTGGTGGATTTGGTTTTGGTTTTGATTGCTCTGGGTACGGGGCTTTGCTTTTTCCGGTGCAAAACCCCGAAGCATCTCAGACCCCAGCGAATGTGGGGCCGACTGTTCTGGGCACAAAGCTTTGCTTTCTCCATGAGTAAACCCTAAAGCCGGCCCCACAGCTCAGTGTTCACCCTAGGGCCGATTACTCAGCGTCTTGCAGTTGAAATGCCGAGGACGGAAGGATTGGGGCGTCCCACCCTTCCTGCTCCCGGGGAAACACGGGGGAGGATTTCTCATTTTGCTGTTTTCGCTTTGAAGCGGCGTGTGCCAAAAATGTTAATGCGGGATTTCGGTCGTTTGGTTCTTTGTGCTTTGTAAGGACGGAGCTCAGAGAGAGAGTTGGGAGTTCATTGTCACTCTCCGGGGCTTCGGGCCCCTCCCCGGCGGCCGCAGACAAAAGAATTGCTCTCAGAATGGCTTCATCCCTTCTGGGGGAGGAAATCATCCCGGAGGGTTGAGAGCTGGAAGGGACTCAGCCTCTACAGGAGGGGGGCAGAGCTTCGTGCCGAGCCAGTGAGCAGGATGTTGGGCAGCCTCTCAACTGCTGGGGACGTCGGTGACTTCATGTTGTGTCTCCTGGAGCACTCTGAACACACGCAGAGCTTTGGGCAGCGCTGGGAGCTGCTCCCATTGGTGCTGAGCTGCAGTCAGCCGGGCAGGTCTCCACTCTGTGGGATGGAGACAAAAGAGGGCAGAGAGAGCTGCTGTGTGGGGCTGAATGGGAGCTCACCCTGTGGGGCAGCAGATGGGAGCCGCGTGGCTTTGGGGCCGGCGCTGACCCCACAGTGACCGGGTTTCCCTGTGGAAAGTAAAAGCTTCTGCTGCGTCGTCGCAGCGCTGCTCTGCTTCCCAGCACCACGCAGTGATTAATTGTTCCATCCCAGGGCTGAGGGATCCCTTACGGCTCACCTACATTCCAAAGCTCCAGCTGAGTCCTGCAGTGCTTCCAGCATTGGCTGCTCCTGTGGGCGATGCTCGCTGTGCTGTCCCAGCACGGATTCACACCCCTGAAGTCTCCCTGCTCAGCTCACGCTGCACTGTGCGTGGAAGGGCTGGCAGGGTGGCCCTGCTGCGTTTCTTTCCACATTTCCCTGACTTTCTCAGGGACTAAACATCCCAAACAGCCGCCGTTTCTTACAGCTGAAATTCCCGCTGCCATCCACGTGACCTCTCTGTTTTTCCCTCGTTCAGATTTCAGCTTTTTGTGCTGCTCGGTGATGTCGTTCCGAAGAGGTTAGAAGCTCTGCACTGCACGCAGCTCCTCCTGCGCGGTAACCGATGCCATCCCCCCCCCCATAACCTGGTGCTCCTCGACCCGACGTGCTGCAGATGCTGTGTGTGCTCCGTGCCCCTGGCTTTGCAGAGGAGCCCCCCCTGCTGCTCCCACCTGCAGCACTGACCCTGCAGGATTGCTGGGTGCTGTGGGTGGAAACACATCGGGGTGTCTCTGAGCAATTCCGTGTCCCGGCCCTGGCAGGTGCCGGTTCTGTGTTTGGTTGTGCTGATGTTTTGGCTTGTTATTTTTGTCTGAGAACAGCAGAAGTGCAGCTGAACTCAAGTCTGGCTTTAAATGTAGAGCTGGGAGTGTCAGTGCTGTCTGTACTGCATGCTGCTGTGTTGCCAGGTGGATGCTGGGGCTGCCCGGCGCTGTGCCGTGTGCTGCTCCCACCAAAGCATCTCCCAGCCTCTCAGATGAGGTTCTGTGCCCATCTCTTGTGCTCAGCTTTGGTTTTTCCAGCAGTTCCCCCTGGGATGTACAGACTTTGGGTCTGAAAATGCTCCTGGGCGGCTGCAGCTGGAGAAGCCACTGCAGCACTGAGGGGATTGAGCCCAACACTGAGAATGAAGGGAAAAGGCAGCTGCTGTGGAGCAGGGCGAGTTTGGTTTTGGATGTGGCCTTAACCCGGATCTGCTGCCTCTGTGCAGGGTGAACACTTGGATCCCGCTGTTGTTTTTCAGGCTGGGTTACAGTTCCAGTTGAGAGACTGTTTGGTTCAAACAGATCCAGAACTGTGTGCTCTCCTGAGCTGTGTTGCTGTGTTTTGCTTACAGCTCTCAGTTTAACACCTTCGCTTCTCCGGGCAGTCTGTGTGTGTGTGTGTGTGGAGGAGAACATGACAAATAAAACCAGCCATAAAACCTCCCTTGGGTGGATGAAACCGAGGGGTGTTTGCATGGAAACCCCAGCCTTTGCTGCTGCCCTCACCACCGCCTGGTTGGGGTGGCACAGCTCGTTATGGAGGTGCTCCCAGGGGCACCCACACAGCCTGGGCTCTCAGGGCTGGTTGGACCCCCAGCAGCACCCCCTGAACAAGCAGGGCTTGGGTGTGAGCTCATAGCTTGGCTTGTGTTCCCCTAATGCGTGCTGCGGGGTTAAGGCAGCACGGTGAGGATCTGCTGCTCTGAGGGAGCTGTGGTTAAATCCTGCTGGAGCAGGGATTTGCATGGGTGATTAAATATTAACACAGCTAATCTCCGAGGGGATGAGGCTGGTGCTGCTGCTGCAGTGGGGTTGCTGGGATCTTGGTGGTTTCAATTGACATACTGATAAATTCATGTTTAAAAAGACACAGATGAGATTGATTTGCTGTTAAACAGGTGCTGTGTTGACATGGCTGGGATTTTTTCCCCGTCCCTGCATCCTGGTGGAGCTTGGCAAGTGGAATAGAATCAATAGGGTTGCAAAAGACCTCTGAGATCATCAAGTCCAACTATCAGCCCATCCCCACCACACTCACAGAAGCAGAATTGTTTGAGGCTGAAGACTTCCAAGATCACTGAGTCCAATGCCAACCCATCCCCACCAAGCCCTTGTCCTAAATAGGATCAAGGGAGCATTAGGGTTGGAAAAGACCTCCAAGATCAAGTCTGACCCCAACCCATCCCCACCATGCCCACTATCCACATCCCTAAGTAGGATCATAAGATCATTAGGGTTGGAAAAGATCTCTGAAGTCATCAAGTCCAACCACCAGCCCATCCCCAGCATTCACTCCAGGAATTATAGGATCGTGGAATCGTTAGAGTTGGAGAAGACCTCTGAGGATAGGGCTGAGATGTGGAGATCTTAAAGGTCTGTGGAGCTCTGTGGGTTCCTGAGGGCTGAGATGTGGAGATGAGAGAAAGGTCTGTGGTTTTGTAGGGCAGAAATGCTGTAGTGTTCATTGCAGTGCAGCAACTGCTTGGCTGTGGGGAGGAGTTGCAGTGGGGTGTTGTGGTGGGGGTGCTACAGTGGGTGCTGTCACAGCTCCTACATAAAATCCTGCAGTGTCTGAAGCAGACAGAAGAAATAAGAAGGAAATAGCAGCCAAGTCTGCCTGTTTTGAGCCCAAAACTGCTGTTCTCTGCTCCCACCTTTGGGCCTGGTCTGTCTGGCAGCTTTATGGCACACAGAGGCATCGCAGAGGAGTTGGCATCCCTGTGCCCAGAAACCCCCCCAGCCCCTCTGCTGGGAAGGAGCAGCTGTGAGTCGATGCTCCTCCACTGCTGGACGTTGCTGGGCTGCACCGCTGTGCTGCTGTGCCACACATGGCAGTGCTTCCCTCCTCCTGACTGCAGTTTTTTTGTTCCCACAGGGCCGTCTGCCTTCAAAAAGTCGCTCACCCCAGAGGTAAGTTTGTGGCCAAGAGCTGAACTGCTGCGGGACGGCTCCAAACACCCAATTCCTGTCTTGGAAATGAGATCGGAGAGGGAGCAGGGAAGCCAGGGGAAGCACAGCAGTGAGAGCAGCCTTTGGGTTCCCCCAACAGCCCCGCTGTGCTGGGGCTGAGCCGTCCTGCCAGCAGAGCAATCCTGTGCTCTGTGCTGCAGCCAGCAGCGTGTGCTCAAACTGGAGAGCCAGCCAAGTGAGTTCTTGAGCCGTGAGTCAGGGCTGTGTGCGCAGCTTTCCTAAGCTGCTTCTCCAGGGAGCTGGCCTTGCTGGGCTCTGTGACAGCAGGGGTGAACAAAGAATCCCCCAGATGTGCTTAGTGCCCACAGAGGACCCCGTGGTGGTTGCAGGTGGATGGCAGGAGAGCACACAACACAGCATGGTCCTGGCTGTGCAAACAGCATTGCTGTGCTGGGTGCTTTGGGAACACGCTGTGTTTTCAAACCCCCCCCCTCAACTTCTCACCACCTTTTCCTCCATCCCAGATGCCAGGTTCTTCAGGGCAGCCGGGCTCTCAGACGATAAAGAAAGGGCACAGAGGAGTGGATTCCACGGGTGAGACCACCTACAAGAAGGTGAGCTCTGCATGGCTCTGCTGCTCTGTGTGATGTGAATCCCATCCAGAGCAGCCAAGGTTGGGTGTTGTTGGGTGTTGGGTGCGTCACTGATGGCCACGTTGGTTGCTCAGAGGGAGTGCAGCATTCTGAGCTGTGAGAGCAGTGGGCAGAGTGTCCTTTTGGACAGCTGTTCTTGTAGCCTTCAAAAGGAGATCACTTTTAAGCACTGCCTGCTGGCAGCACTTCCCAGCTGATCCGTGCTCCTGGGGCATGGATCTATAGGTCCTTCCTACAGGTCTTGTGGCATTCTTGGAATGTGCTTTACAAAGGGGAGATTGTTAGGGGCTTTGTCACAAGCTGGAGCTGTAGCAGCTCTGTGGATGCTGCTTCCACTTTGCTGGGCTTCACAGGGATGGTGACACCTCTGATTTGAGTTTGGGTTTGGGGGGGAGGTGGAGCAGATGAGGGCTCTGTGCACTTGGTGCAGGCAATGCTTCTCATCCAAATCTCTACCCCAGAGCTACTCTGGTCATGATGTAGAGTGCATGGCAGGAAATGGAGCAGCGCTGCTCCTGCTAAACCAAGTTTTGATACAGTGTCTGTCCTGCACTGACTGCTGGCTTCACATTCACTGCCTTCTGGTTCCCTGTGAAATCTGAGGACGGAGGTTGGGCAGCAGTGGGAGAACGGAGCAGAAGCTGCCACAAAATGCCTGAAGAGTTTCTTTGCGAGGGCCCCTGGAGCTGCTGGAGTGCTGCATGGGACCGATCTGGGAATGAGATTACTGGGCAGGCTGCCTTTTTTCCATCCCTTCTTTTTCCAGGGGTGGCAAGTTGTTTTTCTAGAATTCTTTCCCCTGTGGAAGTGATGATAAACAGGCGGCCAGCTGCTCGGCCTGTCTCGCTGGTGGATGGAGGAGGGAAACTCTTGTTCCTTGGCAACGTGGCTCTGTGCTGTGTGCTCACCAGCAGGCAGGGCCACGTGTGCTCAGCTGAGAGCTGTGGTCAAGCAGCACGGGGTGGGGGGGAGGGGGGAGAGAAAGAATCACATTCTTCCTCCCTTTCCCCAGGAAACCAGAGGAAATGGGAAATGCAGGCAGGTAGCTGGAGAGGAGCAGGGTGTTGTGGGTTGTGTGGTGGCTGCGTGGCACGGGGTGTTGGGCTGGTCTGGAAGGGCAGCCTACAGGGTGAGATGGTGGCCCGAGGTGAGGTCATGTGCTGCACAGAGGAGAACTCCTGATATCAGCAGCTGTTCAGGAACACAGTCTGGCATTGTTCTGGGACAGCTCATGCACAGGGTGCAGGAGTGGCTGCCTGTCTGCACTCCTTATTTTGACATGACAGCGAGCTTCAGGACCAAAGAGCCCCGGCCTGGCACCAGTCAGGAGAGCAGTGTGTGCTGTGCTGTACAGCCCCACTGAGCTGCTGCCCACTGTGTTTGGTGGCAGGGGAACGAGGTCACCTCCCCTCTAAACGCAGGATGTGGGGGAAGGAATGGAATTGCAGCTCAGGTCCTTCACAGCTCAGCCAGAACTGAGCAGAATGTTACTGGGGTGGGGACAGGAAGGTGTTCCTCCTGCTGCTGCACCCTGCCTGGTGCAGGCTGCCCTGGGACAGAGCCACGGTGGTGCTGCTCGTTGAGAAAGAAACCAGCAGGTAGAAGTGGTGGCTGTGGATTGCCCCACTAACAACACACTTCTGAACATGGAGCTGTCTTTCCTCCAGCTCCTCTCATTCCTCTTCCCAGTCGGCCACTTATCTCGTCTAACTCGTTTTCTCTCCTCCTCCAGACAACGTCATCAGCCTTGAAAGGTGCTATCCAGCTGGGCATCACACACACGGTTGGGAGCTTGAGCACTAAACCTGAAAGAGATGTTCTCATGCAAGATTTCTACGTAGTAGAAAGTATTTTCTTCCCAAGGTCAGTGCTTGCTTTCTTCCTTTCTGTCGTGCTTTGGCAGCGGTTAGCAGCAGTAGTTCCCAGCCCTGCTCACGTTTAGGAGGCAGCAGCAGAGCTGGGGGAGCACAGCTGTGCTGAGCAGAGCCACTGTGTGCAGAGCAGCTCCGTTTCTGCATAGCTGTGCTGTGACTCCCATACATCTGTTGAACAAATAAATGCAGCTGTGCTGCTGTGTGCCTCTCTGGGCTGAATGCGTTCTGTCCTTGGGTGCGTTAGGGGACAGCCAGATCAGGCCTTGCTTCTCAGGTAGTCCCTTAAGAACCCTGCGTGATACAAACCTGTTTGTGCCCTTCTTTCCTCGAGCAGTGAAGGCAGTAACCTCACCCCAGCTCACCACTACAACGATTTCCGCTTCAAAACCTACGCCCCAGTGGCCTTCCGATATTTCCGGGAGCTGTTTGGGATCCGGCCGGACGATTACCTGGTATGGCACAGCTGGGGGTGCTCTGGGATGGGTTTTTGGGCTCTGTCCCTGCTTGGAGCTCTGTAAGCACAGCAGTGGATGCAGTCTGTGGCCCCAGGCTTTGCCTGGTGCTTTCTGAAGGGAAGCAGCTCCACGCTGCTGTGTTCCACCTCTGTTTTTCTCTCCTCCTCAGTACTCGCTCTGCAGTGAGCCCCTCATTGAGCTCTCCAACTCTGGGGCCAGTGGATCCCTCTTCTACGTGTCCAGTGATGACGAGTTTATCATCAAGACAGTTCAGCACAAAGAGGCAGAGTTCTTGCAGAAGCTGCTGCCCGGCTACTACATGGTAAGTGAAGCCAGGAGAGGCTTTCTTTGCACGTAACACTGTGTGCTCCCTGCTAACCTCTGTGCCATGAGCCTCACACAGGGCCCTGCGTGTCCCTGTGTGGGTGAGCAGGGAGTTCTTCTGCACTCATGGGCTGATCTGACCCTCAGCTTTGCAGGGTGTTGTTAACAGTGGGCAGTGCCAGCCTCTCCCCCCATCCCCACCCTCATCTCTTTGTTTCTTTGGCAAATGCTTTGAACTGCTGCCGGCCCCACTGGGAGAAGCAGGCAGCTCTGCTGGGCAGAACGTAAATAGTTGGCAGGGCTCTGAAGGCATCTCTGTGTCTTTGGTTCTTTCAGAACTTGAATCAAAACCCAAGGACGCTGCTGCCCAAGTTTTATGGCTTGTATTGTGTCCAAGCTGGGGGCAAAAACATCCGCATTGTGGTGATGAACAACCTGCTGCCACGTTCTGTGAAGATGCACCTCAAATATGACCTGAAGGGCTCCACCTACAAGCGCAGGGCATCCCAGAAAGAAAGGGAGAAGGTCTTCCCCACCTACAAGGACTTGGATTTTATGCAGGATATCCCTGATGGCCTCTTCTTGGACTCAGACATGTATAATGCTCTGTGCAAAACATTGCAGAGAGACTGTTTGGTAAGTGGAAGTGCTGGGAGCAGTGGGAGGAGTTCTTTTTGAACCTTTCTGTGAAGGAGGGGTTGGCACCCAGCAGTCCTGCATCCTCTCCCAGGGGTGCTGGCTGGACAGCCTGCAGTTTGGCAGTGCTGTGGGCAGGAAGCTCTGTGCCTTCTCCCCATGCCAGGCGTGCAGGCTCTGGGCAGTGGGCTCAGCTCTGAGCCTGTGCAAGAGTGCTGTCCCTGCTCTGGTTCTCCTGCACAGGAGGAGAACTGCAGGTGTTCCTGGTGCTCCCTTTGCCATCTGCAGACGAGCTGGCAGAGGCAGGCTGTGGGTTGAATTCATCCTCTGGCCCATGCTGGGGATCCGGACGGCACCGCTGGCACTACTGTGTGTGCCCTCAGCAACTTCAAGGGGCTCACGGTGGCAATGAGGCTTTGTTGACTTTCTGCCCAGGTCCTGCAGAGTTTTAAAATCATGGATTACAGTTTGCTGGTGGCAATCCATAACATGGACCTGGCACAGAGGGAGCACGCCATGGCAGACGGGACGTCCCAGGCCGACACGCGGCGCCCTGCGGCACAGAAAGCGCTGTATTCCACTGCCATGGAGTCCATCCAGGGGGAGGCCCGCAGGGGAGGCACCATAGAGACAGATGACCAGTGAGTGTGTGCTGCTCTGCTGCAGGGTTGCCTTCGTGTGGGCTTTTGGGGTGCCTGCTGCTTGCTGGCAGCCTTGGGTCGCTGTTTCCTTTCTGAGAGACGTTCTGATGGCTCTGAAAGAGACAGGGATGGACTCCTTAGCAGGGTCTGTGTGATAGGATGAGGGGAAATGGTTCCCAGCTAAAAGAGGGGGGGATTTAGGCAGGGCACAGTAAAGACAGTGATTATGAGAAGGGCACTGAGGTGCTGGCACAAGATTCCCAGGGGTGTGAGGGTGGTTGTACCCCGTCCCTGCAGACTCCCATGGGGGAGGCTGGTGAGCTGTGAGTTGCCCCTGAGGCAGATGGAGCTGTGGCTGCCCCTGTTCATTGAGTGGGGGGATGAGGTGCCCTTTCAGAGTCTCTTCCAGCTCCAGCCATTCTGTGATTCTGTGCTTTGGTTGATCCCCACTGCCTCCACCCCTGTGGGCAGTTGCAGCAGCTCTTTGTGGTTGCTCGGTCTCCTCATGGATGGGTTGGAATCAGTCTCCAGTGAAACTTCACCCCAGGGGTTGGCTCTGGGAAGGTCGAGCAAACCTCACCAAAACACACTGTTCTCTGTCTTTGCAGGATGGGGGGCATTCCTGCTCGCAATGCCAAGGGGGAGAGGCTGCTCCTCTACGTGGGCATCATCGATGTGCTGCAGTCCTACAGGTAGGGCAGTCTGAGGAGCAGCTGTGTGTCACATGGGGGGCACAGCTTCGTGGTGCTGTCTGTGCTGCAGGCTCCAAGGGAGTTAAAATGCGTTTTATTGACTGCCTTTATTTCTCTGTTGTTATTTTCTTGAAGTTGGGTGTTGAGGGATTGGTTTCCGGGTCTTGTTTACTGCATTTACTTCCCATTCCCAGGAGGGATTGCCTCTGGCAGAGGTTATTTCTGTGCTCAGTGGTTGTTGTGTGCAGGAAGCGGTGAGGAGAAAACAAGCAGTGGCTTAGAATGGCCACAGCCACTGCTTGAGTGCTGCTGGTCAGAGGAGAAGCTCAGCGCCGTGTTGGCACCAAACTGTGTACAAATTGGTGTGAAATCTGGTCTTCGTTCTTTGTTTTGTCAGATTTGTGAAGAAGCTGGAGCACTCGTGGAAGGCCCTTGTGCACGATGGGGTAAGCAGCAAGCACACACCTTCACTTGTTCAGCTAGCTGCGGGTGCTCATTCTGCACAGTGTCCTGGATTTCCAAGGGCTCTCTGTTGTTGCCCTTCTACATGAAAGCAGTGCCCAGAAATGTTCCCAAGCACCCAGAAATATTCCCAGACCAATGTAGCACAGGTCAGGGCTGGGGGGGGAGGCTGCTGATTACTGTGATCACTTACTAATGCAGATTTCCACACTGTTCATCCCTTTCAGGACACCGTGTCTGTGCACAGACCCAGCTTCTATGCTGAAAGATTCCAGCGCTTCATGTGCAACACAGTATTCAAGAAGATACCCTGTAAGTTCTCCATGTGGGGTCCCCACGGGGGTGCTGGTGTGTCTGGCTTCGTGCTCAGCAGCTGGGACTGGGGAGGAGGCACAGCAGTTTGTGAGGGCACTGGGGAGCCTGCTGTGCTGCATCCTCTCCTCCTCCCTCCTGCGTTGTTCTTGCTGTGCAAACGCGGCCGCATGGAGCTGCTTCATCCATCAGTGCGTTTCCCTGTGTGCCAGCTGGGATGTGGCTGTGTTGGGTTTCCTCCTTCTCCTGAGCTCTGTGCAGTAGTGAAGCTCTGCCTTGTTTTTTTTGTCTTGAAGTGAAGCCATCCCCTTCCAAGAAGAGCCGCTCCGGCACCGCGGTTCCTCGGCGGAGCTGTCAGGGAGGAGTGCCTTCCCAGCTGCACGTGTCGTGTGAGACAAAAGCACAAGTCACGACAGAGGCAGATGTGGAGCAAGGTTGGTGCGTGGACTGGGGGGTGGGGGGAGAGAAATACCTCCCAGGTGTTCCACAGCTTGCTGAGTTCTTTGGCATGGCAGAGCTTTCTGCAGGACGCCTGTGGGTGATTTTGCAGTGCTGTTTTGGGCTGTTTCCAAGAGGGCAGGGCTGGTCCTGCAGTGCTCACGGGTCTGAGATGTCACGGGTGGGATCCACACCCTGTGGTTACGTGGGGCTGTGTCTTCACCACTCATGCAGGTGGTGGAACTGTGCTGTGCTTCAACTCAGGTTCCCACCTTGGCCGCCCGGATCTCCTGCCCAGGACTCTGCCAGTGGACGAAGCCAACAGTGATTCCGTCGCCACCACTTTGTCCACCTCCTCCTTGGGCAGTGGAGGTCTCCACTCACCCGCAAACAGGTGAGGCTCTGGGGGGGAGCCCTGGCATGAGCAGCCCCTGTGCAGTGAGTGAACTGAGTGCTGTCTGTTCCAGCATGTGTGAGAAGGGAGCGTTGTCACACCCCACGTGTGGTCCCAAGCAGATGCCGTGATTTTGCATCTCTGCTTGGGCTTTGCGGACGTCCCAGCAGCTTTTAGTTCTTTGTGTGTTCTGTGCTTGATGGCCTCTTCCTGGAGCTGAGATAATTGTGCTGATTACGAGGTGTCTGTGAATGTGGTGCTGCCAGAATGTGCACCAGGAGCAGCGGCGTGGTGCTGCAGGGCACTGGGGTGACGTGCAGGGCTGGGTGCAGCTCTGTGCCTCTGGGTGTCCCCAGAGCTGCAGTGCATGGCTGAGGAGAGCAGATGGCTGCCCTGGAATGTTCCCTTTGTTGCCAAGTGGTGAGAATTGAGGGTTATGAGGAGGAGCTGTGGTCAGAGCACGATCCCATGCGCAGAAGTTCTGAGGTGGTAACTCCTCTTCCTGGAAGCAGTCGTAAAGCACTTCACTCATTCCTGCACCATGGCACTGGTGGAAGTATCTGCTCTGTCCTCAGCAGCAGGAGGACGAGATACGATTGCAATTCACACCTTTTATTCCCTCTCTAAAACCTGGAAACTTCTCGGTAGGGATCCTAAACCAGAGCTGCTCCTTCCCAGTCCGTCTGCATGCCCAGGAGTTCTGTGTCCTTAACCATGGGTGTCTCTCCTTCAATCTCTGCGTAGGTCAGTGGGCGTGCAGGTGCACAAAGCCGACAGCTCAGCAAAGGATTTCGCTAGGACTGCTGCCTTCCTGTCTAGGTGAGGGAGGAACCACGCTTTGCTGGAGGCCTTCTCCCATCCGGAGGGTTTGTTTGGGGGAGATGTGCCCTGAGGTTCTGCCTCGTGCTGCCTGTGGTTCGTAGGTGATTGGTTCAGAACAACATCAGTCGTTGGAAGGAGGTTAGAGAGGAATGTCTGTGGAAGCAGTCGGTCTGGAGGAGTGTTTGTCACCCTGGGGGGGAACACCAGCAGGGTGCAGCAGGCAGGGTCAGCTTGCTCCAGAGCTGTTTTGATGTAGCATCAGTGTGCCCTGCTGCAAAGCTCCAGGCTGCAGAGGAAGGTGTGACACTGAGCAAGGGAGGGATGCTGCCAGGGGAGCAGAGCAATGCCCATCTGTCAGATCAGATATGGGTGAGCCATATTTTGCAGAGAGAAAGGGGAGCTCGATGCATGCTGTCCCTGGGGATGCAGTGAGGGGAATGCTGTCCTCACTGCTTCTCTTTTGGAGGGTTCTAAGCTGAGGGCTGATGGTGTGTTCAGCAGCTGGATTGCACAGCTTGTGCCAGTGAGAACCTGAACAGCACTGACCCAAACGAGATAGCTGGAAAGGGTCTGCCTGCAGTCAGAGATAGGAGTTTTGCAGTGCACTCAGCACTGGGGTGACACTGAGTCTGATCAGGTTGGTGGTTGGAGTTGATAACCATGAGAGTCTTTTCCAACCTAATGTTTCTGAGCCTGATCCTATGACAAGTTCATGGTGTTTTGAAGTATGCTCAGTGCACAGCCTGCTTCTGAAATATATGGGAGTCCTCTGCTCCAGCCCAGCTCTGTCATTCAGCTTCTGACAGAGGGTCCTGAGGTTTGAGGCACTGGAAGTGTCAGCTCCTGGCCTGCAGCCCCTGGCGAGGAGCTCTGCGGGTCACTGGGCTTAATTTTAGGGGGACATTTCACTGCCCTGAGCACTGGGATTGGCCCCAATCGAATCCTGGTGGCACACCAACCAACAGTGAGCATTCTGTCAGGAGAGGATATGGCTCCATAGGGTACAGCTCCACGGGATGCATCCTGCAGGTGGGATGTGGCCCCATGTGCTGCATCCTGCAGGATGTCACTCCCATTTGCTGCACGAGAGCTTTGCCAACAGCTTTTCCTACAGCAGTGCCTCCATTGCAGTGCCTGGCGCTGATCTCGGCGCTGTGGCTGCTGTGTCCCCATGCTGCTTTCCCCCCAGATCCCCATCACTGCAATGTGGTGCTCGTGGGCTCCATAGCAGCTCTGGCAGGAGATGCTCACCTCACCGGGTTTGGTTGGATGTGCAGGTGTTGCTCCAGGCAGCTCTGTTCCAACCCCTTCCATGGGGTGCTCTGCTGTGTGCTGGGCCCAGCAGGAGAGGTGATTTCATGACCACTCTCATTTAAATGTTGCTTTACAGCTCTTCCCCTTCTGTCTCCCCAGCAGCTCCCCAGGACCGTCTGTCCCTGAGCCTTCCTCGGAGCTGAGGGAGCAGCTGGAAGAGCTGCAGGAGACAGAGATCAGCTTTGTGAGTGCCCTCTGACGAGGGGCTGAGTGGTTCTGGGGCTGGGTGGGAGCTGGGGGGGGCAGATCTTCACCCACCTGTGTGCATGACGGCCCTGTCTGCCCCATGCCACATGCAGCTCAGCAACATCCAGTGCCCCACAGTGCTTTGTTGGGTAAAGCAGGAGGTGAAGCAGAGCTGCTGCACTCCTGGTCACCCAGAGTGGTGGGGATAAGAGCTG